AGCCTGGGGTTTGTGGAACTGGAGTATAAATGAATCCCATGGGATTCTTTGAATTATCACTAGGCAGAGGAATAGGTCTGGCTGGTGGCTTTAAGTGCAAGGAAAAAAGACTAGAATGTTGTATACTTGGGTAAACTATATGTAGTTTGTGTCCTGAAAACCAAACTGCCCAGAACATACAAACCTACCATCAGAGCAAATAGTCAGAGGCACAGCTGGTGTTCCGGTTATGAAACTCTCAGCAGAATCCCTCAAGTTATCCGAGGGGCACCATGGAAGAAGCAGTCTGAGTTCTAAGGAGCTGTGCCAGTCTTTGTTAGTCCAGAGCCTTTGAGATTGGCAGTCACAAGACTGTTTCCACCAGCCCCTCTTCAGCTCAGGGAACAGGTCTTAGTCTGTCCCCTGGAAGAGATGGGTGAAAAGATGCCACAAGCAAACCATACCTTAGTGACACAGGGACTTGGAGATCTGATGAATGTTCCACAGATCTAGATATTTTAGAGCTGTGAGGCTAACTCAGGAGTTTATAATAAGGATGGGTCCTGAGAACCCATCAGTGAGGTAGTGCATTCTTTGAATCTGCTGAGAAATAGTGGACCCTTTGCCATGAACCTCCTTCCCCATGCACCATCCAAAACATTGCAAGCAAAGAACATGGGTCCCAATGGTATCTGTCTGAGAACAGCAGTACTAAAGTGGGGATTTCATGTAGCTTTGTCAAACACCTTCCATTCATCCAGAATAAAAGCTTACTGTCCTTAAAATCTGATAGGAAGTCTTCAAGACTCCAGATGTATCAGGTCAAGAACTTCAGGTTAAAATATATACATGGTACTCACAGAAATATTGACTACCATACCTCAAGTTCACTCTCTTCCACTCTTCTTTCCAGCCTTGCTTGCATGCATCCAAGCCTTGTGCTGTTTTCCTCTTTACGTCTCCAAGGACCGTGGCTGCCTATTCTGCAAAGAAGGATTGATGAGTTACCCTCAAACACAAATGCCACTGTTTATAAATTTAAATAGTGATGGCCATGGACAGTTTTCCCATTTACATCACATCTGTTTTATGACTAAAGCTGGGTGTTCTCTCTGTGCAAGACTGAAGTGAGCATCCACATAAGGAATCATCAAGGAGGATCATCAGCCAAGAGTCACTTATAAGGAAAACCTAGGAACTGGGAGTTCCAAAACTTTTAGCTGAAGACAGAGGAGTCCCAAGACTTCACATGTGAAACTTCTCAAGAATCAATAGAAATAGACCCATATAAACATTTCTCTTTCAGGGGTGAAACTTCCTTCTGAAGACATTAACAAGATGGGGAAAGAAGAGGTCAAGGTTGAGGAGGTACCAATATAAACAGTCCTGACTCTTCAGAATCAGCAATACACTACCAGGGTTTCCTATCTGTGCTCACCAGCCTGAGCCTCTTAGACCCAGATTACAACAGATCCAAGTCATAGAGTTCAGTAGCATTCAGAGGAGCTTATCCTTATTTGTACATGCATAAACTGTATAGACTGCCTACTTGAGTTGTGGCTATTGTTTTTAATGGCTAAGAAGTTGAAGCCAATTTTATTGACACTTGGAGGGAATCTGATATACAGAACATCCTGATGAAGCCATTTGCCAGTATCCAGGAACATCTTCTAGAAAGCCGCAGGCAACTCTCTAAAATAACCTATGGATCTTAGTTTCAGGCAAGCCTTTCCAAAGATACCACGAAGTCATAGCAACCAATCTTGAGAAGAGTGTTGAATGTCTGTTATTTGCCTAAGGAGGTAAGTATATGATGTACCATTCTCAGTGAAGAGATGGACTCCTTGTCTTAAAAAGAAGAAGAAGAAGGAGAAGGAGGAGGAGGAGGAGGAGGAGGAGGAGGA